ATTCTCCTGAATTAAGAATTTTGCTCAAATTTTGCTGAAAAGTTTCAATACATTTGCTAAAGGATACCTGCTGATTGTTTACAGCTTTAGATATACATGACTTTAGTACTTTGGTACTCGTCCATTTGTGACTACCTGAGGTACAGCTTACGATTTATACTTCAGAAGTATGATATAAGACATCCATCATTGTCCCCAAATAACATGATTTTATCAGGAGAATCTGATTATTGATATCATGACCAACTTAAATCTTTAAAAAAGCTAGAAACACCTGATATTTCATTACTGTTTTATTCCTGTCATCCCTGATATTTCTTTACTTTAGGATTCCTGTCATCCTTGTTATTTCTTTAGATTAGGATTCCTGTCATCCTTGATAATTCTTTACTTTAGGATTCCTGTCATCCCTGATATTTCTTTAGATTAGGATTTCTGTCATCCTTGATATTTCTTTACTTTAGGATTCCTGTCATCCCTGATATTTCTTTAGATTAGGATTCCTGTCATCCTTGTTATTTCTTTAGATTAGGATTCCTGTCATCCTTGATAATTCTTTACTTTAGGATTCCTGTCATCCTTGTTATTTCTTTAGATTAGGATTCCTGTCATCCTTGTTATTTCTTGAGATTAGGATTCCTATCATCCTAGATAATTCTTTAGATTAGGATTCCTGTCATCCCTGATATTTCTTTAGATTAGGATTCCTGTCATCCTTGATATTTCTTTAGATTAGGATTCCTGTCATCCTTGTTATTTCTTGAGATTAGGATTCCGGTCATCCTTGACAATTCTTTAGATTAGGATTCCTGTCATCCTTGATATTTCTTTAGATTAGGATTCCTGTCATCCTTGATATTTCTTTAGATTAGGATTCCTGTCATCCTAGATAATTCTTTAGATTAGAATTCCTGTCATCCTTGATATTTCTTTAGATTAGGATTTCTGTCATCCTTGATATTTCTTTAGATTAGGATTCCTGTCATCCCTGATATTTCTTTAGATTAGGATTCCTGTCATCCCTGATATTTTTTTAGATTAGGATTCCTGTTATCCCTGATATTTCTTTAGATTAGGATTTCTGTCATCCTTGATATTTCTTTACTTTAGGATTCCTGTCATCCCTGATATTTCTTTAGATTAGGATTTCTGTCATCCTTGATATTTCTTGAGATTAGGATTCCTGTCATCCTTCATATTTCTTTACTTTAGGATTCCTGTCATCCTTGATAATTCTTTAGATTAGGATTCCTGTCATCCTTGATAATTCTTTACTTTAGGATTCCTGTCGTCCCTGATTTTGATGGGCTACTATGACCAGATGTCTAGCTACAATCATCCTGCCATATACCAATACAACAACAAAGAATAAAGTTGGGTTTTTTTTTTAACATTCTAATAAAGTTTCATTTAATTTTATAAAGCATTATGTTATAATGCTTTTAGAAGATGAAAATAACCCTTATATATCATTGATTGATAAAAGTTTAATTTCTAAATATTTCAACGCATATATGTCTGCTATGTATAATAATGAAAAATATAAGTATACCACATATGACATACATACAGTGTCAGTTTTCAGTTTCAATTGGCTTTGTCATACCAACCATGTTTATCATCAATATTTATGTTCATTTGAAGTAACATGTTCCACCATTATCAGGAGACCTCAGCCTCACTCTGGGGACAGTAGATAAATTTCATGCCTTACGTGTCTGATGGCAGACTGGTCTGGCTATGGCAGTAAAACACACATGCAGTTATGCTGAATTCTGAACTCAATCCAAAATTTGTTTAAATTGACCTCATACTACATATACATCAAAGCTGGTTCTAGTGCAGGGATACCCAGCGATATTGAATTTTCTGGTCCTGTAAAACATCTGTCACTGTAAGACAGCTCTAGTTTGCCTCCAGTTCTAACCTAATCCTTTTATATTTTCTTTATTATTTATCAAATTTGACTGGTCTTAAGTCTGCTTTCTATCATAGTCAATATATCACTAACTCTCTGGTGCGCACCACACTGATGATTGGCCTATAGGGAGGTATATATCAAACACAGTTGTACATGCAGTCTTCCCCCCCTCCCTCCTATGCCCTCCCACATAAAAACAATATCTCCTAAACGAAACCCACTTCAGGCACTTAAAGCTAAAGAAAAGGCCGATTTGTAGATTTTTGATGTCTTTTGTCATGAACTGCACACGTTTCCCAGTGTGAATCAGTATTGTTGGCTGGTATACATAATATTGTAATGTAGCTGGTACAGTCAGCATGATCTGAGAAGATCAAAGATTTTCTACAGTAAAACATCTTTATATAGATCTCTGTGAACGCAGAAGAATTTCTACAGTAAAACATCTTTATATAGATCTCTGTGAACGCAGAAGAATTTCTACAGTAAAACATCTTTATATAGATCTCTGTGAACGCAGAAGAATTTCTACAGTAAAACATCTTTATATAGATCTCTGTGAACGCAGAAGAATTTCTACAGTAAAACATCTTTATATAGATCTCTGTGAACGCAGAAGAATTTCTACAGTAAAACATCTTTATATAGATCTCTAAGAACGCAGAAGAATTTCTACAGTAAAACATCTTTATATAGATCTCTGTGAACGCAGAAGAATTTCTACAGTAAAACATCTTTATATAGATCTCTGTGAACGCAGAAGAATTTCTACAGTAAAACATCTTTATATAGATCTCTGTGAACGCAGAAGAATTTCTACAGTAAAACATCTTTATATAGATCTCTAAGAACGCAGAAGAATTTCTACAGTAAAACATCTTTATATAGATCTCTGTGAACGCAGAAGAATTTCTACAGTAAAACATCTTTATATAGATCTCTGTGAACGCAGAAGAATTTCTACAGTAAAACATCTTTATATAGATCTCTGTGAACGCAGAAGAATTTCTACAGTAAAACATCTTTATATAGATCTCTGTGAACGCAGAAGAATTTCTACAGTAAAACATCTTTATATAGATCTCTGTGAACGCAGAAGAATTTCTACAGTAAAACATCTTTATATAGATCTCTAAGAACGCAGAAGAATTTCTACAGTAAAACATCTTTATATAGATCTCTGTGAACGCAGAAGAATTTCTACAGTAAAACATCTTTATATAGATCTCTAAGAACGCAGAAGAATTTCTACAGTAAAACATCTTTATATAGATCTCTGTGAACGCAGAAGAATTTCTACAGTAAAACATCTTTATATAGATCTCTGTGAACGCAGAAGAATTTCTACAGTAAAACATCTTTATATAGATCTCTGTGAACGCAGAAGAATTTCTACAGTAAAACATCTTTATATAGATCTCTAAGAACGCAGAAGAATTTCTACAGTAAAACATCTTTATATAGATCTCTAAGAACGCAGAAGAATTTCTACAGTAAAACATCTTTATATAGATCTCCAAGAACGCAGAAGAATTTCTACAGTAAAACATCTTTATATAGATCTCTGTGAACGCAGAAGAATTTCTACAGTAAAACATCTTTATATAGATCTCTGTGAACGCAGAAGAATTTTTATACTACAACATACAAAGGATCTCCAAGAAGACTTAAGAAAGTTGATATTTTTAATGTGAAACTTTCCAAACAATAAGCCCATATCTGGTAATAAGCCTTATAGTACTAACTATTGCTTTTCAATAGATTTGTATCATGTAAAAATTATGCTACTTCATTGCCCTGTTACAAGCCCATCCCAGATATAACACTTCACACTGGTAGGGACTCTTCAGGATCCTTTGTGAGACAATTACACTACACAGAGGTAGGAACTCAATCAAACCCTTTGCGTGACTTTATTACTACACACAAGTAGGGACCAAGCTGGACCCTTTGTGTGACTTTATTACTACACACAAGTAGGGACCAAGCTGGACCCTTTGTGTGACTTTATTACTACACACAAGTAGGGACCAAGCTGGACCCTTTGCGTGACTTTATTACTACACACAAGTAGGGACCAAGCTGGACCCTTTGCGTGACTTTATTACTACACACAAGTAGGGACCAAGCTGGACCCTTTGTGTGACTTTATTACTACACACAAGTAGGGACCAAGCTGGACCCTTTGTGTGACTTTATTACTACACACAAGTAGGGACCAAGCTGGACCCTTTGCGTGACTTTATTACTACACACAAGTAGGGACCAAGCTGGACCCTTTGCGTGACTTTATTACTACACACAAGTAGGGACCAAGCTGGACCCTTTGCGTGACTTTATTACTACACACAAGTAGGGACCAAGCTGGACCCTTTGCGTGACTTTATTACTACACACAAGTAGGGACCAAGCTGGACCCTTTGTGTGACTTTATTACTACACACAAGTAGGGACCAAGCTGGACCCTTTGCGTGACTTTATTACTACACACAAGTAGGGACCTATTATGACATTTTGTGGGACTATCAAATTCTCAACATATTAAACTAATAGTGGTCCCTATTGATTAGATTACTACTTTAACATATATAGAGTAGAATTTCATCTGTTCAGCAATTTTATGCTTCAAAAATATTAGACTAGAAGGTGCCGTAATTTCTACTTAAACTTGCAAATTCTATAAAATTCGAAAATTTTCCGAACGGAGCGAGTTCAATTTAGCATGAGTTGAAACAAAGCCGTTTACTAGATTAGGGACTCCACAAAATAATCCCAAAATAGATAAACACCATGTTTGATCATAATTTGTTTAGACATTCAACAGTTCTATGGTGTAAACTGTCTTTTTTGACCAATCAGATCACAGCTAAGTTATCAAATATACATGAATTGGTTCTTTATAATTGAATAAAAGCTTCAACATGTATTGTGGCGTTGAACAGATAATATGACCGGTATACAGTGCGACTGCAGGCTGTCACATGTCATATACTATTTGTGTGACTAGAAACTCCAAACTAATCATTTAAAAGAGAGTAGAATTGATCTGACCATTGTTTATCATGGCAAAAGTCCTTACCTGGAGCATTAGGGTCAACCTCTGGACGATTCTGTTCCTTTGGTATGAATTTTAATGGTTTTTCTTCCTTTTTTTTAATTTTATTTGGCATAGGTGTTGGTATTTTTTCCTCTTCCATAAAATTATTACCCCGATTATTACCCCCCAAATCCTTGTGAATTTTTTGTGCTAAAACTCCTCTGTCAACAGCATGGAGTCTGTCATTATGACCATTAGCAGCTCCAAACTGGTCAGCTGGTACTGCCTTATGGTCGGAGGCAGCCTGTCGCTTGCGAACATTTCCATTGCTATCCACATCATTATAATTCATAAGAACTACCCCGAGAAACCACAGGGCAGGGATCGTCAACACGATCTTGGCAATTAAACTCCTACGGCGGCGAAAAAAACTTGCCATATTGTTTCACACTCGGAAAAAATTAAAATTTAATCCAAGAATATAGTACTGCAGATCTGAAATCCAACTTTCCCGATGAATTTGCTATCTTTTACTCTTCATACTTCAGATCCAGGCAACTGCAAAATACAAAATTAAATATGATAATTAATATGTAGTCAATCAAATGTGTGAATTAAGTACAAAATGGTGTATAAACAGTCTGCTTTTGTAGACAAAACATCCCATGTATATATGGTAAGATAAATAATATTTTCACTTAAGTGGAAGGCAGAATGACCACAACAGTCTTGGATTTTGTCATAGTTTAGCCATTTAATACAGAGAATTTTCTATTGAATCTGTTAATCACCAAACGCACCAGTATACAGTTCCTTGTTCAGACTTTTAGTATCCAGAATCCTAATAAATTAAAAACATTAAAAAAATGATGACTACTAGTATAAGGCAAAATATTGATAAAACATCTCATGGTATAATTGAATGTATCTTTGTAAGTTACAACATGTCAAAATTTACCATTTACATAAAATGGAATATAACTGCTAAGAAGGCCAGATATGATCTTGCAGAGGTGTGTATAGGCATGTTCTAGTAAGCTTGTAAACATATTATTGTTTCTAGTCTTATATAACCAGTGTAAGTCAAATCACACTTCAGCTATACAGCTTGTAGGGAAATATCACACTTCGTAAGAAATAAATTGTCCATGTTTGTCCAAGATCACTGCTGCAGTACAGTTAATAATGGTTTGGGAGCTCTGAAATAGAATTCCTTATCATACGCCAAGTTTAACTTATGATCATTCAAATTCAGCAATGTTATAAATTTTAGTCTGTATGTCAAAATAAACTGTCCATCAAAAACCAGGACCAGTCATATTACCAACTTTCAAAATGTCTACATGTAATTATGTGCATATAGTGCACACTTTATTTGGTAATTATGTCAACATTAAGGAATGAAGCACATTATGTATGGAACAAGGTATTATTGAATAACAAACCAACATATTAATGTTTACCAAAAAAGCATTTTCAGGTAGGTGGTGTTACAAAAACAGAGCACAAGTTACAATGAAATGTAAACAATAGTACAGAAATGTAAACAACAGTACAGAAATGTAAACAACAGTACAGAAATGTAAACAATAGTACAGAAATGTAAACAATAGTACAGAAATGTAAACAATAGTACAGAGTAGTAAGTAACAATAGTACAGAAAAAGTTACAATAGTGTGGAAAAGAAACAGTAGTGGAGAGAAGACATTATTGTGGAGAAATCCAGACCTACACAGTCAGGTAATCAACACACCCAGTAATACTAAACAGGCCTTTTGGAATGATGCAAAATCCTTATATCATGTTGCATCAGGAAAAAATAAACATTCACAATTCAATGATGACTGATAGAATACATTTTACATTCTTCCATCAAATGAGAGATAAAGAATCTCCACAGCTTTAAACTTCTCTTTTACACCAGACAGATATTCCTGACAATGAAACCTTCCACACTCATTTCATAAATACTAGGAAACAGAAACAGCTTTATGACACAAGTTATATCTTTATTTTGTCAATATTGGCAGAAATTCATCTGTCTGTAAAAATACTTCTAAAATCTTGTTTAAAGGATATAAACCATAAACTTTCCTCAGCTGCTATGACCAGTAACAAAAACAATAAAATCACAACATATAACAATAAAATCACAACATATAACAATAAAATCACTTACAACATATAACAATAAAATCACTTACAACATATAACAATAAAATCACAACATATAACAATAAAATCACTTACAACATATAACAATAAAATCACAACATATAACAATAAAATCACTTACAACATATAACAATAAAATCACTTACAACATATAACAATAAAATCACTTACAACATATAACAATAAAATCACTTACAACATATAACAATAAAATCACTTACAACATATAACAATCAAATCACAACATATAACAATAAAATCACTTACAACATATAACAATAAAATCACTTACAACATATAACAATAAAATCACTTACAACATATAACAATAAAATCACTTACAACATATAACAATAAAATCACAACATATAACAATAAAATCACTTACAACATATAACAATAAAATCACTTACAACATATAACAATAAAATCACAAAATCACAACATATAACAATAAAATCACAACATATAACAATAAAATCACAACATATAACAATAAAATCACTTACAACATATAACAATAAAATCACAACATATAACAATAAAATCACAAAATCACAACATATAACAATAAAATCACAACATATAACAATAAAATCACAACATATAACAATAAAATCACAACATATAACAATAAACTCACAAAATCACAACATATAACAATAAAATCACTTACAACATATAACAATAAAATCACAACATATAACAATAAAATCACTTACAACATATAACAATAAAATCACTTACAACATATAACAATAAAATCACTTACAACATATAACAATAAAATCACTTACAACATATAACAATAAAATCACTTACAACATATAACAATAAAATCACAACATATAACAATAAAATCACTTACAACATATAACAATAAAATCACAACATATAACAATAAAATCACTTACAACATATAACAATAAAATCACAACATATAACAATAAAATCACTATAACAATAAAATCACTACAACATATAACAATAAAATCACAACATATAACAATAAAATCACTTACAACATATAACAATAAAATCACTTACAACATATAACAATAAAATCACAACATATAACAATAAAATCACTTACAACATATAACAATAAAATCACTTACAACATATAACAATAAAATCACAACATATAACAATAAAATCACTAATAACAATAAAATCACAACATATAACAATAAAATCACTTACAACATATAACAATAAAATCACAACATATAACAATAAAATCACTTACAATATATAACAATAAAATCACAACATATAACAATAAAATCACTTACAACATATAACAATAAAATCACAACAATAAAATACAACATATAACAATAAAATCACTTACAACATATAACAATAAAATCACTTACAACATATAACAATAAAATCACAACATATAACAATAAAATCACTTACAACATATAACAATAAAATCACAACATATAACAATAAAATCACTATAACAATAAAATCAACATATAACAATAAAATCACTTACAACATATAACAATAAAATCACTTACAACATATAACAATAAAATCACTTACAACATATAACAATAAAATCACAACATATAACAATAAAATCACTTACAACATATAACAATAAAATCACAACATATAACAATAAAATCACAACATATAACAATAAAATCACTTACAACATATAACAATAAAATCACAACATATAACAATAAAATCACTTACAACATATAACAATAAAATCACAACATATAACAATAAAATCACTTACAACATATAACAATAAAATCACAACATATAACAATAAAATCACTTACAACATATAACAATAAAATCACAACATATAACAATAAAATCACTTACAACATATAACAATAAAATCACAACATATAACAATAAAATCACTTACAACATATAACAATAAAATCACAACATATAACAATAAAATCACAACATATAACAATAAAATCACTAACAACATATAACAATAAAATCACAACATATAACAATAAAATCACTTACAACATATAACAATAAAATCACAACATATAACAATAAAATCACTTACAACATATAACAATAAAATCACAACATATAACAATAAAATCACAACATATAACAATAAAATCACTTACAACATATAACAATAAAATCACTTACAACATATAACAATAAAATCACAATAAAATCACAACATATAACAATAAAATCACTAACAACATATAACAATAAAATCACAACATATAACAATAAAATCACTTACAACATATAACAATAAAATCACAACATATAACAATAAAATCACTTACAACATATAACAATAAAATCACTTACAACATATAACAATAAAATCACTTACAACATATAACAATAAAATCACTTACAACATATAACAATAAAATCACAACATATAACAATAAAATCACTTACAACATATAACAATAAAATCACAACATATAACAATAAAATCACTATATCAATCAGTTTGTGAAAGTTAGAAAGAACATCACACATTTCTTATGCATTCTTTCAACTAAGCTGTAACATATTACCAACAGACCTGCTTCAAAAGTTCCATGTTTTAATGTAAAGTTTACCTGCAGAGGTGTAGACTGAGTTGTGTCCCTTCGATAGTTTGATTTAAAAAAACTCAAAATGATTAGAACTGCTATCACGGTAGACATAAGTTGAGTGGTAATCTAGTTCCAGCAAGTCAGTACCCTCTACACTCAACCTGTCTCATATCCAACGTAAAGGAACGTTACCATAGGTGTGATACTAGTCCAAGGAAACATCAGGATAAAGCCCTTCATCTAAAATTCTAAACCAATGGGATTGATGATAGAAGAATGGTTGGTCACCTGACAACGTCCCATAGACAAAGCGGTCCATGTTCACATTGTCAATTACCGCAATTAAAGAAATAGTGGTAGATGATAAGTTGTAGCGTTATTGATCTGGGTGTTCACAGTGTTTGCCTCAGGGCAGCGAGGAATGCATGCTGGAGCGATACTCTCCGATACAACACTGGAATTCCTTCGTCTACTCCCAAGCATTTACACAAGTATTACACAGTCACATCAAACAAGACTTTTACACATAACAATGCACCAATATAGATACGACCACCATCTGTATGAAGATGCTTGCTCCTACAGAATTGATCAGGCTGCAGATACAAAATACATCTTTATACCCAGTAGGACTTCCCATGGGAAAAGTACTACAAAATATCGGGGCACCAGGTAGTATTATGATATAAATTACCAGAA